ATCAAAGCAAGGTGGAAAATTAATTTGTTTGAATTATTCGAAAAATCGCAAAAATTAATTATGCTATTTTAGGACAACATTATAGCTTACTTCATGGATTAATTAAAGGTAATAGATTTATGTTTTGCCATTTGTGTGTATGACACTAATCTTATGCGTGAATTATTTGAAAAATCGCAAAAATTAATTATGGGAAAAAAATTAATTTTTTTTTCCATAATTAATTTTTGCGATTAAAGCTTACTTCATGGATTAATTAAAGGTAATAGATTTATATTTTGCCGTTTGTGCGTGCGTGACACTAATCTTGTGCGTGACATTTTGTAAATAAATATATTTTACCGTCATGCGTTGGGATAAATAAAGAGGATAATAAGACCTTTTTTAAGTAAGTAAAATGCCATGCGAATGTTGTGAGATTAACATGTCTATGAGAGAAACATTGCGAAGCACAGCTGGAGGAAAAAGACTTCAACATCACTCCATACATTCAGAATGATAAATTGTACCGATGTGTCTTTGATCATCTGCAGATTTTTTTGTTGACAATCGTTTCTCTTATTATGAATGTATGCACGTAATTAGAGGGAAGTGACTCTCGGCAAAAAATTGATAAATGAACGAGAAGAAATATACTGATACTCGCGAATACCGATTGTATCGACGGACATTCGCATCAGTTGCGAAATAAATACAGGGTGAGGAAAAAGTATGGAAACCTTCAAATTTTTCAAAAGTTATGCATTTTAGAAACAAATGTTTCAGACAAAAGTTGTATGGTTTCAAGTAACGCATTATGTAGCAATATCAGTATGACCTTGAACAGCACCGTCAAACTCACATAAAAATCAGTTCGAATTTTTTAAATAGAACCCCCTATTTTTTATTACACATTCTTATAGCTTATTTCAAGAGCTTTTCAAAACACTATATTAAAGTGTTTTTTTATTGAGTACTTTTCGAGTTATAAGGCTTGAAATAATTTCTTAATTTTACATAAACCATAAAATATTTAATAAAATATTCATTTTTTATTATCTCATCTTTATACTTTTATGCATAAGATAATGTGAAGAATCAATTGGTGTAAAGAAAAAACATGGTTTTGAAGAAAAAATATTTTATTGTTTATGGTTTATGTAAAATTCAGAAATTATTTCGAGCCTTATAACTTGAAAAGTACTCACTGAAAACATACTTTATTATAGTGTTTTGGAAAGCTCTTGAAACAAGCTACAAGAATATATAATAAAAAGTAGAGGGTTCCATTTAAAAAATTCAAAGTGATTTTTATGTGAGCTTGACGGTGCTATTCAAGGTTATACTGATATTGCTATGTAATGCATTACTTGAAACCTTACAACTTTTGTCTGAAACATTTGTTTCTAAAATGCATAGTTTTCGAAAAATTTAAGGGTTTCTATACTTTTTCCTCACCCTGTATAAACGTGGGTTCGATTTAGAAATAATGATCGATTTGAAAGATGGTCGAGAAAAGTGTACTTCTTACTTTTTTGAAAATGATGGAATTTTTAAGAGCACGTATGTAGGAATCAGCGTATATAATTAGAACACCTTGTATTAACCCGCGAACGCGGAACCTACCCGATTGATGTATCAACATATTGATTGCCTCATCCTTGCGATGAAAAACAGCAGCGGATAACTGTATTTCAAGTTTCCTGCGATTTCTCGTTGCTTCAAGGTACCGCTATAATCATTGCGCTAATACTAATTAATTAAACTACAAAAACTTGAAAATATTTTTAAATTGCTACTTTCAACAAAGTAGCAATAGACTTTACGATTTAGCAACTGCTAAAGGTTTAAATAATATTTTAATCAATTAATTATAATAATCGTTATCCTCTATCTTAAATCCATTTGCACATCCTCGAAGCTTTAAAATATTAAGTGATAAAATATCTCTATATCATAATAATAAAATTAATTATGTGACGGTAAGATTTAACTGTACACATTAAAATAAAAAAAATTAATTAGAAATTGTAGACATATATATGTATATATATATATATATATATATATATATATATATACATAGAAAAAAAATAAGTGTCAAATCAAATATACTTAACGCGTTCATTGCTTCGTATGTACGCAACAATTTATAATCTTCTTAGAAGAATTTATAATTTTAAATTTCAACAATATTATAGTCTTATTTTAATATAATTATCACCTTAAGAAAATATAATTATTTAATTCTATTTTAAGAAAATTATAATCTTTGATTTAAAAATGTTATTTTCTATCTAACATTGTTTCTTTTTCATTCAAGAAAATTAAATCTTAAATCATAAGAATATATTTTTCTTTAATTAACGCAATATAATCTCATTTCAAGATTCTCTTGTTAAAAGTAAATATATTTTCAAAACAAGAATGTCCTCTTTTTCTGTGCATATACAGGATGGTTCCCCCGAACGTTCGAGCCAGACTTTGAGATCTTATAGGAAATTTAATTCTGAACAAGAAATTTCCTATAAATATGGATCGAAAAATGCTTCCTTAAGAAGTTATCGCTCAAAAACCTCTGATGAAGGAAGAGTAAAAGGTGAAAGGAAAATGAAATAAAAAGAAAATGAAACAAAATAAATTTCTTGAAAAACGTCTTTATTCATTTTCTACTATTACGTGCTATTACTAAAATATTAGTTAAAAAAAATTATTTTATTTTCATAAAAGAAAAAGATTTTTATTTTTTATTTTTATCGTTTTTTTCAAGAAATTTATTAAGTTTCATTTTCTTTTTATTTCATTTTCCTTTCACCTTTCGCTCTTCCTTCATCAGAGGTGTTTGAGCGATAACTTCTTAAGGAAGCATTTTTCGACCCATGTTTATAGAAAATTTTTTGTTCAGAATTAAATTTCCTAAGATCTCAAAGTCTGGCTGGAACGTTCGGGGTCACCTTGTATATATACATATATGCATATGTTAATTGCGTGAATAATTAGGAAACAAATCTCGTTGCAAATTACTATCGTTATTCATCAATCGATCGATAATCAAGGCAGACAAGTTGGAGCTTATTCCATGCAAAGTGACATGCATATAAACTGCTCGATGATGTGAATAATTCGCGATCAATTCAATCGATTATTCGCCGATTTATTATTTCGATAATGCTATACGGCAAATTGATCATAAGCGCGATCCTTATCCTGACTTCCTCCTTCGCCAATTACGGCAATGAGGAAGGAATATCGCGGCCGCGTGCGGCTATCTTTGCTCAGGACCTTCTGTAGCGCGTTAACCCGAGCTCCGTAGGGTTTATTCTGGCGACAAGGTTGAGGAGATCAATGAGACGTAAAAATAAAGTATCAACAATATGAGGTAAGGTATCTTAAAGATACTCGCCGTATAATAATCGCGGATAAGCATCTTCGAAATAAATTGATTATTGACTAAATAAATTTTTCACGGGAATGAAAATTCCTTTCATCAAAATAATCAAATTTACCAAATAAATTGATTATTTACCAAATACATTTTTCACGGGAGTGAAAATTCTTTTAATCAAAATAATAAAATTTACTAAATAAATTTGATTATTTTGATTAAAAGAATTTTCACCTCCGTGAATGTGGAATTTATTCTGGCGACACGATATTAAAGAAACCGATTAAAATATAAAAACGTGATAAAAACGAACATATGTATAAGAAATACAGTATATGTAGATCTCTTATAATGAATGTAAAATTTGTTTCAAAAGTAACAATTTCGAATATTTATAATTATTTTGAAAAAAAATAAGACGGAAAATATTCTTTATTTCCAATTCATTTCAAATATCGCCATATATGATATATTTTGCGATATTATTGGCATTATTAATCCCTGACGAAAATTTTTTTTCCCTTTTTCCTCGAGGAAAATTATTTTTACGCACTGATAGCTCCTCTTTCACACAGAGAAAAATATCATTCTACTGTCAAGAAAAGCGATTACTCAATTCATTTTTCTTTTTTTAAATAATAGTTTTCTTCAACAAAGAATATATTCTTGATAATAATCTTAAAATATATTCATCACAAGTGTTAGAAAATCTCATTATCATGTACAAATCTCATTATCATGTAAAGAAGAATTTGTTTCCTCTTCAAGAATATTGTAAGGTTGTATAAAAAAAAAATCAAACTTACTTTACGTCAAAATTCTTGTAGTAAGCAAATCAAATTTTTGTTTTAATTTAATACTCTTGACTAAAATACTGCATTTACTAAAATTCAGAATATATTCAATTAAATTTAATGCTTGTGGTAAACTTATGATATATTTGCGGATATACAAACTTATGATATGATTTAAGGATGTTTTGTACCTATTTTATAAATATTGAAAATTTAATGAAAATTGTACACAATGTCCTTACATATGTTTAGAATCTTCAGTATAATTTTTAAATCGATTCACTAAGGCATTCACAAGTTATAAGGATTTTAATATGCACCGAATTAATATGTGTTCTTATGAAAAACGTATAACCACGTCGATTCAAATGAAAAACACAACATGGAAATAATATTCAGAATTTGTTGAAAATTTGCAAAAGTTTAGATACAGTGGAAATATTTGGTCAAATAATATTATACAAGTACTATCTGATTAAAAAGATATTAAATATAATTCAATGAAGTTAGCCATGTATCTGTCAGAAGGCGAAATTCTCTGCCAAAAGTTAATCATTTCGATTAACAAAATTCGGAATATTTCAGTAAAAACGCTATAAATATTAAAAAATACATCTCTGCACTGTAGCTAAGGTCAAATTGTAATATTCCACATAATTTCTTACTGAAAATACACTAAAAGTGGATATTCGTCAATATTGATTTTCAGCTATTTTTTGCTAGGATTGTACAAAACATCCTTAAAATAAATAATATTGACTTGAATACAGTATACATTTTTACATTTTTTGTACTTTTCGCGAGCGCGACTGTTTATCGAGCTGAAATTATTGCATCCTCACCTTTGAGATCATAGCCGCACATATATCGGCAGACGAGAACGGTGAGAGGCTCGGCAAGAAAGCGTCCCAACAGGATCGCGCAAACGTGTGTGTACACATTCGCCAGGAGAAAGATTCCTGTACAAGAGGCAAGATTGCACCAGGTCCCAATTCAGGTTGCCACGTGCTTCCTCGCGTGCACGCGTTTCTTTCACTTTTCCTCGATAATAACTCACCTCCCCTCCCCGCCTCCCCCCTCCCCCTCCGTGCGGTCCACCGTCGTTCTCGCTCTCGGAATACACGATGTTGTGAACTTGGGGCCCGAGGGGGTTCGTTCGCATAATCGCGCACTTTTTCACCTCGTCGTTTCACGGCGATCTCGACCAATCGGCGGATCCCGCGCGTAAATCCCCGTCACTCTTCAATTGTTCACTCGCGAGGACGCTCCTCGAATTATCGTCCAACGTAGGGAGAAATTGCGCGATCGATCCCCCGCTTATAAAGCATCGACACTCGTCGCTCTCCATATCGTTTTCCTATTTCGTTGCCACTTTTTTCAACCGTCTCGTTTGCCGAGTTCGCAATTTGCGAACGAATTTTGCATCGCAAAAGCTTTGCTCGTTCGCAGCTTCCAGAAATGTAGCAAGTGTGCGATCTCCCTTGGAGCACTCTCACGAATGGGAAAGAGACTTTCTCGTATATATTTAGATCCGTTTCGTGGATCTATAGGAGCTTCGGTTCAATTCGTCGGATTCATTCGTGCTCGCATAGGGAAGAACCTTCGTATCGGGGTCCGGACTCTCTCTGATGGGTTAATAATGTCCGTATCCGTGCTAGTCGGCGGCCGGTCACGCCGATTTTCTCACGCTCACCATGAAGCGCGCGCGCACGCGCGCGCGCGCGCGCGGATCACGTCACGCGGAAAGAATTTAATTCGCCTTTAAGGATGTTTTGTATCTATTTTCAAAATATTGAGAATTTAATGAAAATTGTACAGAATGTCCTTGCATATATTTAGAATGTTCAGTACAATTTTTTAAATCGATTCATTAAAGCGTTCACAAGTTATAAGGATTTTAATTTGCATAGAATTAATATGTGTTCTTATGGGAAACGTATAACCACGTCGATTCAAATGACAAAAACGTATGGAAATAATATTCAGAATTTGTTGAAAATTTGGAAAAGTTTAGATACAGTGGAAATATTTGATCAAACAACAACAACAATAATAATATACAAGTACTAACTGGTTAAAAAGATATTAAATATAATTCAATGAAGTTAGCCATGTATCTGTCACAAGGCGAAATTCTCTGCCAAAAGTTAATCACTTCAGTTTAGGATGTTTTGTATCTATTTTCAAAATATTGAGAATTTAATGAAAATTGTACAGAATGTCCTTGCATATATTTAGAATGTTCAGTACAATTTTTTAAATCGATTCATTAAAGCGTTCACAAGTTATAAGGATTTTAATTTGCATAGAATTAAAATGTGTTCTTATGGGAAACGTATAACCACGTCGATTCAAATGACAAAAACGTATGGAAATAATATTCAGAATTTGTTGAAAATTTGGAAAAGTTTAGATACAGTGGAAATATTTGATCAAACAACAACAACAATAATAATATACAAGTACTAACTGGTTAAAAAGATATTAAATATAATTCAATGAAGTTAGCCATGTATCTGTCACAAGACGAAATTCTCTGCCAAAAGTTAATCACTTCAGTTTAGGATGTTTTGTATCTATTTTCAAAATATTGAGAATTTAATGAAAATTGTACAGAATGTCCTTGCATATATTTAGAATGTTCAGTACAATTTTTTAAATCGATTCATTAAAGCGTTCACAAGTTATAAGGATTTTAATTTGCATAGAATTAATATGTGTTCTTATGGGAAACGTATAACCACGTCGATTCAAATGACAAAAACGTATGGAAATAATATTCAGAATTTGTTGAAAATTTGGAAAAGTTTAGATACAGTGGAAATATTTGATCAAATAATATTATACAAGTACTAACTGGTTAAAAAGATATTAAATATAATTCAATGAAGTTAGCCATGTATCTGTCACAAGGCGAAATTCTCTGCCAAAAGTTAATCACTTCAGTTTAGGATGTTTTGTATCTATTTTCAAAATATTGAGAATTTAATGAAAATTGTACAGAATGTCCTTGCATATATTTAGAATGTTCAGTACAATTTTTTAAATCGATTCATTAAAGCGTTCACAAGTTATAAGGATTTTAATTTGCATAGAATTAATATGTGTTCTTATGGGAAACGTATAACCACGTCGATTCAAATGACAAAAACGTATGGAAATAATATTCAGAATTTGTTGAAAATTTGGAAAAGTTTAGATACAGTGGAAATATTTGATCAAATAATATTATACAAGTACTAACTGGTTAAAAAGATATTAAATATAATTCAATGAAGTTAGCCATGTATCTGTCACAAGGCGAAATTCTCTGCCAAAAGTTAATCACTTCAGTTTAGGATGTTTTGTATCTATTTTCAAAATATTGAGAATTTAATGAAAATTGTACAGAATGTCCTTGCATATATTTAGAATGTTCAGTATAATTTTTTAAATCGATTCATTAAAGCGTTCACAAGTTATAAGGATTTTAATTTGCACCGAATTAACATGCGTTCTTATGGGAAACGTATAACTACGTCGATTCAAATGACAAAAACGCATGGAAATAATATTCAGAATTTGTTGAAAATTTGCAAAAGTTTAGATACAGTGGAAATATTTGATCAAATAATATTATACAAATACTAACTGGTTAAAAAGATATTAAATATAATTCAATGAAGTTAACCATGTATCTGTCACAATGCGAAATTCTCTGCCAAAAGTTAATCATTTCGGTTAAGGATGTTTTGTATCTATTTTCAAAATATTGAGAATTTAATGAAAATTGTACAGAATGTCCTTGCATATGTTTAGAATCTTCAGTACAATTTTTTCGATTCATTAAACCATTTACAAGTTATAAGGATTTTAATTTGCATAGAATTAATATGTGTTCTTATGGGAAATGTATAATCACGTCGATTCAAATGACAAAAACGTATGAAAATAATATTCAGAATTTGTTGAAAATTTGGAAAAATTTAGATACAGTGGCAATATTTGATCAACTAATATTATACAAGTACTAACTGGTTAAAAAGATATTAAATATAATTCAATGAAGTTAGCCATGTATCTGTCACAAGGCGAAATTCTCTGCCAAAAGTTAATCATTTCGATTAACAAAATTCGGAGCATTTTAGTAAAAACGCAATAAATATTAAAAAATACATCTCTGGACTTTAAGATCAAATTATAATATTCCACATAATTTCTTACTCAAAATACACCAAAAGTGGATATTCGTCAATATTGATTTTCAGCTACTTTTTGCTGGGATTGTACATACAAAACATCCTTAAGCGTATGTACGGATGTATTTACACTCGCCAATGTCGAAGATAAAATCGCAGAAAGAATTTCGAGGAAAATTTTCACTACGAGAGTCCTTGCAATTTTCGCAATTTTCAACACACACACACTAACTATTTCTGTCTTCCGATCATCTCTTCTTCGGTCTTTTCAAAATCTTGCATATACGATCTCGAAAAATCAATGTACATATCATCGAGCTTGGAAATCTTTACGATGAGAGACTCGAGTATCTCAAGAATTCGAAGATCCTTCTTCTCTTGGACGTGACGTGACGAAAATTCCCGAACACGTAACTTCCGACCATTCCGCGAACTCCGATCGCGATCGGATCAGACTCAGGTCCGTCAGAAAAAAACAGAGCAGCGTAAAACGTGTCTCGCGAACGATGATTTCCAAGAAGAGTTCGTCTATCTAGGAAGGCCTCGATCTCTTTGACGTCATGTATACAAATTCCAAGACACGTGATTCGACGGCCGGCGAACGATGTGGAAGACATAATGCAGGTTTGATTTCGGCGGTCACATCGAATGCGAGCTGGTCCAACACAGGAGAGACTCAGCGCCCGCGACGAACACTACTGACGGGCTTTATCCGTCGTCATATAGGGTCCTGCATACGAGCTTAGATCGCGGGCTCTCTCTTCTCCTCTCGCATCATGTGCTCCCGGTAGGTACAGGGCACTTAACACAGTTAAACCAACGACCCTCCCGCTGGTGGGTGCCAGGCGACGTGACAGGCGACGCGACAGACGACGTGACAGGCGCGCCCAGCTTCCGCGAATAGCTTCTGCGCCAGACGGCCGGCCTGAATCTCCGTTCGTGCTATATTCCATGAAAAATCGCAGAAGCGTGCCGTACCGTCTCGACGGTGGAATTTTGGAGGGAGACTTGTTTGTTTGTTTCGTCGTGAAAAGAGAAAGAGAGAGAAAGAAAGAGGACAGAGACTCGAAAGGATATATTTCGATGAATTGAACAATGTAAACACGGGAGACGTTTCGTTCTTATACGCTTTCATAGCGATGAATGACATTAAACGTCGATGAATGACTGCTAAATTTGTCCCTTTTATTGCTATATTTAACGTTAAGATAATAGTGTCATTAGTTTTGCTTTCGTATTATGTGTGCTAAAATTTAATTGGAAGAAAATCATTTATTGGAAATTTATTCGCGATTTTTTTCAATCCTACACTGAGAAAAATCATTTGATTGTACCAACAAGATGTATGATCGAAGGCATTTTGGTTAAATTAAACAAGAATTTTTTATCATGAGTTATCATGATAAGACTTGATTTTTTATAACTAGAACGTTTAATAGATTTTACTATAAGGATTTGGTTAGTATTTTCTGGTTGGATCTATAAAATTTCTTGTTGCATTAATTTCTTTGCTTGCTTCTTAACTTAACTCGTATTCAATATTTGCCATGAAATGTATATAAATAACTAGTATTAACATTAAATCCAAAGTATATTTTTTTTCTCTTACGAGCAGTAGTGCCAGAAAGAGGACGTTAGCTCTCTGATTGTGTGTGTTTGAGCTGCATCCTCTTCTTGCATCACTGTTTATCAGTTTAATTTCTAACAAACTGAATTTAAAATAATTTATTCAATAATCTGGATTGAATTTATCCAATAATCTTGTTGGAATTCAGAATATTAAACAGACTTTTGAGGTAAGATGGAAAAAATTTTAGACGACTTGGTGCTGGCGAGTTTAGTATTATTAACCAGAAAATTTGGTAAATTTAACAGGAAGAAATTAGTCAGATTCGTTTGGCAATTCCTACAAGAATTCTGGTTCGTCCATTTTCCAACAGACATACTGATTGAATCTACCAGAATTCTAATTAATGCAACCAGATTTTTCCTTAGTGTGTAATTGTCATCTCAAGAATCTATAATTATTTAATTCTACTTTAAGAAAATTATAATCTTTGATTCAAAAATGTTATTTAACATTGTTTCCTTTCCACTCGAGAAAATTAAATCTTAAATCATAAGAATATATTTTTCCTGATTGCACTATACAGGATGTATCTCAAATGATGCACTAAACTTTAGAAGCGTATTCTAGAGGTCAAAATAAGACCTTTTTTTCCCTACGAACATGGATCCACAAATGAATCCCCTTCCGAGCTAGAGGCCCCTAAAGTTTGGGGAAAAAATTGAAAATTGGCTGTTTTATGGATTGCCTTATTATTTGATCTTAGTTTTGACATTACCTATCACCCTCTCTTGAAAGATAAATAAATTTGCGTTGCGGATGTTTGGTCAATTTCACACATTTTCGAATTTTAGCTTGAAGAGGGATTCATTTGCGAACCCATGTTCATAAGAAAAAAAAATCTTATTTTCCTTCTAGAATACGAAACACTGTTTCTTATCAGTTTAATTTCTAACAAACTGAACTTAAAATAATTTA